AAATAAATATTAAAATATTTTTTTAAAGTCCTGACATTACAAGATGAGTCAAAGAAACTCCAAAGATGCCCTTGAGTTCATTTTCTGTTGACTATCTACTGCTAGCATGCAGTCTACTAATGCCGACTCATACAGCCTCTTTGGAAATCAGTATGGAGATTCCTCAGGAAAATGGGAATTAATCTACCACTAGACCCAGCAATTCCACTCTTAGGCATTTATCCAAATGAGGCAGGTTCATACAACAAGGGCATCTGCTCCACTATGTTCATAGCAGCATTGTTTGTAATAGCCAGAACCTGGAAGCAACCTAGATGCCCCTCAACTGAAGAGTGGATAGAGAAAATGTGGTACATATACACAATGGAGTATTACTCAGCAGGAAAAAACAATGGAATCTTGAAATTCGCAGGGAAATGGATAGCACTGGAAGAAACCATCCTGAGTGAGGTAACCCAGTCGCAAAAAGACAAACATGGTATGTACTCACTCATATATGGATTTTAGATATGGATCAGGATAGTGCCAGTCTGCACTTCCACAGATAGAGAGTCTGGGAAACAGGAAAGAACCTAAAAGATATGCAGATATGCATAGTACCCAAGAGAAGAGGATGGAGACAAGATCCTCTGAATGGATGGGGAACACGGCGAGGGTGGGGGGAGTGGGACCTGGGAAGAATAGAGGGGGTAAAGAGGAAGGGAGTTGGTCTTGGGGGAACAGGAAGTTGAGGGGGTGGGGATAGAATAGGGGGAAGAGGGAATCATAGGATCGAAGACAGATCAGGCACCAGAGTGACCTCGAGTGATCTAAAGGTATAACATCAATTGGCAAGCTAAGCAATAGTGGAGGGACCACCTCGAATGCCCATTCCTGATAATGAACTTGATGTCTATAACCATCCGGGAGCCTTCATCCTGTGATTGATGGAAGCAGAGGCAAACACACAACTAATCACTGAACTGAACCCAAGGAACCCAGTGACAGAGAGAGAGGAGTGATGAGCAAATTGGCAAAGAATGGGCTGGCAAAACCAGCAGAGACAGCTGATCTGAACAGGGGAGTGCTCTTGGACCCCAGACCGACAGTGGGGAGGCCAGCATGGGACTGATCTGGACCCCCCCAAATGTGAGTGTCAGTGAGAAGGCCTGGGCAACCTATGGGGCCTTGAGCTGTGGATCAGTGTCTATCTCTGGTATACAAACTGTCTTCATGTGCCTATAGCACAAAGAGAGATGCTCTCTCAGCCTGGACTCATAGGGGAGTGCCTTGACCCTACCAAGAGTAAAATGACAGACTCTAGATATCCCCTATGTGGAAGGATTTGGCAATAGGGTGGGAGGGAGGGGGGGAAGGGGAGTGCGGGAAGAGGGGAGGGAGAGGGAACTGGGATTGACATGTAAAACAAGCTATTTAAAATTAAAATAAAAAATGATAAAAAAACACCTAAGACAATTTATGCTGAAGAGGATGTGGAGAGAGGGGAACACTCCTCCACTGCTGGTGGGAGTGCCAACTCATACAGCCACTTTGGAAATCAGTATGGAGATTCCTTCAGGAAAATGGGAATCAATCTACCACAAGACCCAGCAATTCTACTCTTAGACATATATCCAAAAGAGGCAAATTCATACAACAAGGGCATCTGCTCCACTATGTTCATAGCAGCATTATTTGTAATAGCCAGAACATGGAAGCAACCTAGATGCCCCTCAACTGAAGAGTGGATAGAGAAAATGTGGTACATTTACACAATGGAGTATTACTCAGCAGAAAAAAACAATGGAATCTTGAAATTCGCAGGTAAATGGATGGCACTAGAAGAAACTATCCTGAGTAAGGTAACTCAGTCACAAAAAGACAAACATGGTATGTACTCACTCATATATGGATTTTAGACATGGATCAGGATAGTGCCAGTCTGCACTTCCACTGACAGAGAGTTTGGGAAACAGGAAAGAACCTAAAAGAGATACACATTGTACCCCAGAGAAGAGGAATGAGGCAAGATCTTCTGAACAGATTGGCAACACGGCGAGGGGTGGAGGGGAGTGGGAGCTGGGAAGAAGAGAAGGGGAGAAGAGGAAGAGAGAGTAGGTCATGGGGGAACAGGAAGGTTTAGTAGTGGGTAGAATAAGGGGAAGAGGGACTCATAGGTTAGAAGACAGATCTGCTACCAGTGTGACCTCTAGTGATCTGAAGGAAGGACACCAACTGGCAAGCTAAGCAATAGTGGAGAGACCACCTTGAACGCCCATTCCTGATAATGAGCCTGATGTCTATAACCATCCTGGAGCCTTCATCCAGTGACTGATGGAAGCAGAGGCAAACATCCACAGTTAAACACTGAACTGAACCCATGGAACCCAGTGACAGAGAGAGAGGAGCGGTGAGCAAATTGGCAAAGAATGGGCTGGCAAAACCAGCAGAGACAGCTGATCTGAACAGGGAAGAGCTCTTGGACCCCAGACCGACAGCTGGGAGGCCAGCATAGGACTGATCCAGACCCCCTGAATGTGAGAGTCAGTGAGGAGGCCTGGGCAACCTATGGGGCTCTGGGCAGTGGATCAGTCTTTATCCCTGTCATACAAACGGACTTCGTGTGTCCATAACACAAAGAGGGATGTTGTCTCAGCCTGGACTCTTAGGGGAGTGCCTGGACCCTGCCCTGAGTGAAATGACAGACTCTGGACACCCCCTATGTGGAAGGAAATGGTGATAGGGTGGGAGGCTGGGGGACATGGTGGGGGTGTGCGGGAGGAGGGGAGGGAGAGGGAACTGGGATTGACATGTGAAACAAGCTATTTAAAATGAAAATAATGTGAGGTGCACTCTCACCCTGAACTCTTGGGGAAGGGTCTAGGCCCTGCCCTATATGAAATGACAGACTATGGACACCCCCATGGAGGGCCTCACCCTCCCTGGGGGAATGAGGGGATAACGGTGGGGGGAGGTTCGGGGGGGAGGGCAGGGGAGGAGGGGAGGGAAAGGGAGAGGGACCTGGAACTGACTTGTGAAGCAACCTTGTTTCTTATCTAAATTTAAACTGGAAAATAAAATAAAAAAAATGAAAAAAAAAAGAATAGTTTGTTAGTTTGTTACATATTTGGTTGTGAGCCTAGCCCTGGCCTCTGCCTCTGTTCCTGCCTCCAGAATCCTGCCTTGTTTGAGTTCCTGTCTTACTTCCTTGGTTATGAAGCCAAATAATCCCCTCCCTCTGCCAAAAAAATGAAAAAGAAAGGACGGAAGGAAGGAAAAAAGAATAAAAGGAAGAAAGAAAAGGAGGAAGGAAAGAAAGGAAGGAAGGAAAGGAAGAAGGATTGTACAATACAGGTAGAAGTTCAAGGCTATCACAAGGAACCCACAGAAAAAACTAACCTGGGCTTATAGGAGCTCACAGACTCTGGACTGACAACTAGGTAGCCTGTATGGGACTGACCTAGGCCCTCTACATGTGTGACGGTTGTTAGCTTAGTCTATTTGTGAGATTCCTAGCAGCAGGATCAGGGCCTGTCCCTAAAGTTTGGGCTAGCTTTTAGGAACTATTCCTTCCCATTGGTTGCCTCACCCAGCCTAAATACAAAGGACTGAGCTTAGCCCTACCTCAACATTATATGTCATGCTTTGTTGACACCCATGGGAGCCCTGTCCTTTTCTGAATAGGAACAGAGAAGGAGTGGATGGGGAGGACAGAAGGGAGGCAGGAGTAGGGTTGGGTGAGGGAATAGAATGAGAAGATAGAAGGGAGACTGTGGTCGGGATGTCAAATAAATGAAAATATTTAATTAATGAAAAGAATAATTTGTTTCCCCAGTGAGACTCCCTTGGAGAAAACTAAGTTTCTATTTACAAGTGGTTACCAATTGGTGATAGCTTCTGGCTTAGGAATGGGGCATGTGTCTCCTTCTTCTAGTTCTAGGACTACATCTGGTATGGATGAATGCAGACCCTGGGCATGCTACCTCATTTTCTGTTAATCCATAGGTGACTTGATCCTGTTCATATAGAGGGCCTTGTCCTTGAGCCTCTCTGGCTCTTATATTCTTTTTTTGCCTCATTTCCAGCAGGGTTCTCTGAACCCTGAGGGGAGTAATTTGATGGAGACATCCCATTTAGGACTCAGTGTTCCAAGGTCTCTAATTCTTGGCATAATATCGGGCTGTGGGTCTCTGTTTGTTCCCATCTGATGACGGATGAGCAAAACACTGCTATGTAAGTATAGCGGATATAATTGAGAGTAACTTCATTGCTATACACATTAATTTCAACAGTAGTATTTGGTTTTATCCTCTGTCCCTGGGCTATCTAGTTTCAGGTTCTTGGTCATTCAAGCAGTATCTGGTATGGGTTCTACCTTGTAGAGTGGGTATCAAGTCAGATCAGATATTGGTTGGTTGTTCCCATAAGCTTTGTGTCATCATCATACTAGCATATCTTGCATACAGGATACCACTGTAGATAAAACAGTTTGTAGTTGGACTGGTGCTTACATTTCTCCTTTGGTAGCATGTAGAGTGCATTCTTGTATTAAAGATGCTAGAATGTAGGGTTGAAGGTTCTATGTAGACACAAGCTCAACTTTATCTTGGCTAATGATTTGTGCAGATATTGTTTCAGCAATATGTTTGTGGAGAGCAACATATAGTCTTGACAACAGCCTGGGATGTTTGGAGTCCCATAGGTATCTTTAGGCCAAAAAGTCATTAGATGTAGCCCATTCTCAGTATTGGAACTTTCATTTGGTGACAAAAGATGTCCAGTTGGTGCTCTGTCTCCCCCATTATTTGGAGAATTTCATTTATATTGCCTTTATCTGTGTACATATTTTAAGATACTTATATTGCCATCATACTGATTTTCTAAAAGAACCAGCTGTTTGTTTCATTGATTCTTTGTATTGCTTTTCTTTTTGTTGTTGCTTCTATTTTACTAATTTTACTCCTGATTTTGATAATTTCTTGATGTGTACTTATGAATTCCTTTTTTTTTTTGTTCTGCAGCTTTCGGATGTTTAGTTACCAGTATGAGGTCTGCTAGGTGTGACCACTGCGAGTTCCAGGTAAAATGGGTTTCTAGGTATTGGGAGTTGATGCTTAGGAATGAGGATAGACTGGGGATGGGTAGATACACACAGGAGGGAGAAAAGTAGGGTGTTCCACCAGGATCTGCTTAGTCTTCTGGGAATGTGAGCAGAGAATTAGGAGAGGGCACAGCAGATAGTCTGCAACAGAGCTGGGGATGAGACTAGGAGATTAGATTTGGAGGGAGGGTGAAGATCTGAAGTTTGTCTACTTGTTTCATTAACATACTTGCTTCTAGTGCAGGCTTGGATGGAGGTCTGCTTGAGTTGGGGGCTAAGAAGGAGAGCATTGCAGCCTGAAGCAATATGCCACATTTTCAGTAGGACCTCAGTGTTTGGGAAAGAAAGTCAAAAGATTAAAAAGAGGTAGGAGGAAGAAGAATGATAGAAAATTTCAGAATGTTTTGGGATTTGTGATGCCCTATATTTATAATTTCAGCGCTCAGGTGGTTGAGACAAGACAGGAAGTTGAAGGTTAGCCTGGACTACATCCAAAGACCCTCTATCAAAAGAAAAAAGGAACAGGAGGAGGATGCAACATGAATTCTAGTTGGTATTAGTAATAAAAACCCAGAGACAGATAATGGAGTTAAAGCTGAAGATCAGAGAAGCGAGCAGTCACTAGCTCTTACCTCTACATTATACCTAAATGGCCTATCCTGTCTCCACAAATCCTCATACTGCAATTTGTCTCCACCAGACATCAGACTGCCTTGAGTTCCTGTCTCCTCTGGCTTTATATTCCTATCTGTACTAGGATTAAAGGCCTGGGATCCCAAGTGCTAGAATGACCTCTGTGTGAGCTGTTTCTCTTTTAGACTGGAGCAGTTTTGTGTAGCTCAGGATGGCCTTGAACTAACAAATATCCATCTGCCTGTCTTCCCAGTGCTGGGATTAACTGTGTGTACCACCACTGCCTTGCCTTTATGGTTAATTATTGTGGCTAGTTTTGCACTCTGATTTTCAGGCAAGCTTTATTTGTTAAAACACAAAATATCACTGTAGAAGGAAGAAAAAAGAAAGAACAGATGGAAAGAGGAAGGAAGAGAGGGAGGAAGGGAGGCAAAGGCAAAGAGAGGGAGGGAGGGAGGGAGAGAGAAAGAAAGGAAGAGAGACAGGTACTTCCCGTACTTTTACTGAGCAATATAATCAATGGATGAGATAACTGGAGGTAAGGGTGCTTTAAATTCTTGTCTTACCATGAGAACACACTCCACAAAATCAACTAAGTAACCTCACAGGGGCTTACAGAGACTAAAGTAATAGTCACAGACCCTTTATGACTCTCCCTGGGAGGCCTGTTCTTTTTTTTTTTTAAAAAGGGAAATAGAGGAGTGGATCTGGGAGACAGGAGAGGTGGGGAAGGGACTTGGGAGAGAGGAGAGGGAAAAACTGCATAAAAGTTAAAAAAATAAATAATTTCATAGATAAAACTTTATCAATAAATAATTTTGTGTAAGCTTGACTTACAACAGTCTGCATACTGCCATGCTTCCTGTTATAATGGACTAAACCTCTGAACTGCAAGCCAGCACCAATTAAATGTTTTCCTTCCTTTATAAGAGTTGCTATGGTCATAGTGTCTCTTCACAGCAATAGAAACCCTAAGACAGTCCCACACAAATTTCTAGGAAATATTTAAAACTACAGTTTTTATGAAAATTTCTAGTTTAGATTTTTACTCATTTTCCTATTTTTGAGCACTTGCATTATAGAAACATTTTATGAAGAACTGTATAAGCACCCATTCCCTTAATCATTCCCCAAACTTATTTAATAATAATGTCTAAATGATTATTTTGCAGATACAACTATATGTGAACCATTTGAGATATCTTTCAAGGCTACTATTATTCTTCATATATTAAAATTTTAACTGCTATGATTTGATCATTATATATTTTGTACATGCATTGAATTACCATAAGATATCCCATAATTAAGTGGCAGTGCAATACATCCATAAAAGCACAAAAGTTAGATTAATAATAATAAACTAGATATGTTAGAAAAGTATGCTACAAAATTGATTTATTAAAACTCTGACTTGGTTATTACAATCAGTGAATGCCTGTTTTACTGATGAGGAAGCTAAGGCTCAGAATTTAGGAATTTGCCAAAGGATTTAAAATGTAAATAATAGAAACCATTACTTAAATCCAGAAAAACTGGGTCCAGAGTCATCAATCTTAATCACAAGTCTTTGTGGTAAGCCTCTGAGGATAGATGCCTGTGAGCCAGCCTGTAAGATTGACCACATGGTTTATCATTCAAACCAAGACACTGTTAAGAATAAAGAAGAGTGAAATTAATAGTTAAGCAGATCCTTTACATAAACTGCTGCTCCCTCAAGCAATGACAAGGCTTAGTGCTAACCTACCCTACCTGTACAGTTCCACCAGCCTGTCTACCCACCTTTTAGTCTAACACTTGCTCTCTGCACTATTTCTCCTCCTTGAGTTTCTGCCTTCATATGCTCTTCCATGTTGCTTATAGAATCGCTATCTTTGTACATGCTCCCCTTCCCATGTCATTCATTCTCTGATTATCATGCATATATTCACCTTTAAGCCTCCAGCTCATGGTGCTTCTTTGGTATGTTTAGGAAAACATTTATGCTCTGATTTTGGTAACATCAGTCTACTTTGCCTCTGAGTGTGTCATGATTCCCCCACAACTCCAGACATTGACTAGGCTCAACCCTTCTCCATCCCAGTTAACCCAAACTGGAATAGACTAAATACTTAATAAATACTTTTCAAAGGAACAAAAGGGGATGAAACAAGAGAGAAAAAATACTTAGTTTTGTCTAGATTGTATAGATATAAAATCATTGATTCACTTATTGAACAAATGTGTACAATTTGTTCCAGGTGTTTTAGTTGTGGTTGAAATAAGAAAAGTTTGTTTCCCAGAGTATACATTCTTGGTAATAGTCCATTAATAAAGAATCAAGGCCATTTCATATGGTCCAGAAAGCATTAAAAATAAAATAAATATAGGGTAAAAAGAGATCAGAGATAGATTTAAGTTTGGTAGTTTACATCCCCCCAAATTCACATTCTGAAACTTAATCCCTTATTATGGTGGTAAAAAGTTTAGACATTTGGAGAGGTAATCATGAATTATTGTTTAACAGGCCTGAAGGGAACTTGTTTGGACATTTGCTGTGAGCTCTTCCACCCCTTCCAGCATGTGAATTCATGGTCTACACTGAGTTCCCATCTGGATGGTAATGATTAGGAGCTCTGTTGGAAGCAGAGCCCTCTAGGTGGAATCTTCTGTCCTGCTCAGTCCTGCAGCTACTCAGTTCCAAAGAAGCACACAGAGGCTTTTATTAACTATAAACTGGCCTATGGCTCAGGCTTATTATGAACAAACTCTTACAATTTAAATTAACCCATAATTCTTATCTATGTTTAGACATGTGACTTGGTACTGTTTCTCAGTATGGCATTCTTATCTTGCTTCACTGGCGACACTGTCTTTGCTTTCCTCTTCCCAGAATTCTCCAAGTCTGCTAGCCCCATCTATACTTCCTGCCTGGCCCAACTGGCCAATCAGTGTTGTATTAAGCCAATATGAATGACAAATATTTAAAATATACAAGAGCATTATCCCACATCAAATCCCTTAGTAGATACTCACCCTGCTGACACCTTGATCTTAGACTCCCCACTCACCAGAAGTGAGAGGAAGCATATCTCAATTTTAGAATCTTGCACCTTTGTCGATAACACAAATGGCCTAATATAGAACACAAGAGTAGTACCTCCTGGGTGATGTTTGTGATGAAAAAGAATAAGATGTCTTGAAGAGCAAAGAAAAATTTCCCAAGAGCATCAGGTAGATGGGAATCTTTTGCTGGATATGTTATCTAGAAAGGCTCTTGTGGTTGGGAAATAGACCAGAAATCTTGGTGGAGACTTCTTCTATGTCTCTTAAGTGATGGCAAAACATTTGTGTTTATGGAACATGTAATAAATGGCTGAGTTTTAAAGAGCTAGTGAGTTCATTTTCTGTTGTTTGTTCCTTTTTTCCCAAAGATTACTCTGGTGGCTGAACTGAAAGTAGACTAGCAGATGATAAAGCTAAAGACTGGGACAATGACAAAATCCAGGCAAGCGCTGCACGCAGAGGGAAGAGATGTTTTCCAGCAGTGTTTCTCAGACTTTAACAGGCAGACGGGTCACTGGCAGTTTACTGCAAAGCAACTCTAATGCTTCAGTCTGAATTTCAAATAAGTTTTCTAGTGATACCACCATTGCTCCTCTGAAAACCACAACAGAGAAACAAAAACAATAGCAACAAAGCAAAAGTGCTGATAGGTGGTTTTTGTTTTATTGAGAGAAAAGAACCATTGAGTGTTCTCTGTATTTGGCAAAGTACATAGTGCAATGTATGAAACAGAAGTTTCATTTCTACCCCTGGTTTATGAACCATCTTACTCCCATCTGGTGGGACCATAAAGCTTTTCAGGATGGATGGACATTGAGACACTCTTTGAAAATGATGAAACATGATGGCATCATGATAACATAGCATATTTAAGGTCTACAAGGAGTAAGATTCACACAAGCTATGATGATTTCTAGATCTTTGCTCTTAGTGATCATTTTCTGGTATATATTTTATTGCTTAAAATTTATATTTTATGATTTATAGATTATCCTTTCCTAGAGATATCAAGTGCCCTTAAAGAGTGGTGAAAGTAAGATGGCTTGGGGGAGCCAGTTGCCAGGGGTGGGAGCAAGGGGGAAAGGGAACAAATGAGAGCAAAGTAAAGTAACTAGATGTATGAAAATTTATGTTAGGAAATCCATCTTTTTATATACGAAGCAGAAAAAAATTAAGACACAGTGTTTGTTAAAATTCCAATAGAAAAAAGGTGGGAGGATTAAGGAGATAGTTCAGTCAGTAAAATGCTTGCCTCACACATATAAAACCCTGAGTTCACACCTCTAGCACCCAAATAGAAAGATGGGTAGGGCAGCAAAAGCCTTTAATTCCAGTGCCAGGAAGTGGGGACAGGAGGATCCCTCAGACTTACTGGCCAGCCAGTCTACCTTATGTGGTGAGCTCTTGATCAATGAGAAACTCTAGCCCCCCAATACACACACACACACACACACACACACACACACGTATATATATCCATATATATATATAGACACACAGATTTTCCCCCCTCACAAAGTAGAGAGTCATAGAAAGAAATAATTAATGTCAACCACTGGCCTCCACAAACATGCACATACAAATATACATTCATTCACACAAACATGAATAGCATAAATGTGTCTCAGCATATATGGGACAAAGGTTACCATTCTTTTACTGTGACAGATATTGTAGCACAG